GAGGGGTAGACGGGGGATGGGGGATGGAGCGGGCAGGTGGATGCATCTCCCACAGGCCTCCCCAGACCCTGTGCAGAGCAGTGCCCGGTCTGTTGGTGACTGCACCAGGCCAGGGACTGTGGCCTGGCACCAGGCTGGCACAGGCAGGTACTCTGAGAAGGGCCAGTGAGTGGGCGGGCCTCCTGGCTGTGAGCATTGGGGGCAGGACCTGTGTTTGTCCTGTGCCCATCTCTCCAGTGCCCAGAGCCAGGCAGACGGTGTGTTTGTTGGGAGGGGACACTGATGTTTTGAGGAAAGAGGCTGTGAGGCAGTCATTCGACCATCATTTATTAGGTAGGGTGTCACAGATTTGGAGGGAACACCATCGTCCACCAAGGGCTTTCTGGAGCCAGCACTCCGGGGCCTCCTGCTGGCGCCTGGGGGCTCAGCTACGTTCTATCTGCTTGAAGAAGGGGTGACAGAACTTGAGCAGGGTCGCCATGAAGCCCATGAACTCGCTGAAGTCCACCGACGCACTTCCGTTGTCGTCCAGGTCCCGCATCAGCCTGTCCGTGGCCTCCGTGTCCCTCGCGTCCTGGAGGAGAAAGCAGCCGAGCTCAGCGACAAGGACAGGCTGGTACCCCTGGACGGGCTGGGGCAGCGGCGGAGCCTGGGACATCCCCGGGTGGGCTCCGATCGGAGAGGGCCATGGGGGTGGGGTCCCTGGCAGGTGATGGACCAGTCCCAGGCCACGTGCCCACGGCCTGCCTCGTCTCAGTCAACTCCCAGCACTGCATTTATAGGCACCCCTCCTGGGCTGCAGCCTGTCAATCTGGAACCCCCACAACCCAGAGAGCTGTCCCAGATGGAGAAACAGTCCCCGGGGTCACATGGCGGAGGGTGGCGGTAAGCCCTGGTCACCGGGTCAGGGAGTCTTAGCTCTGGTACAGGAGGCACCTTGGCTCACTCCCAGGCCCCCGGGGCTTCCTTGAGATTTGGCCGCTTTAGCCTGCTCACGGGACTGTCCCAAGTCCCAGAACACTTGGTCCCAGGCCCAAGTGCCACCAAGGTGCAGGATGGGGCTGGGGAAGTGGCCCAGTGGGCTCCCGGCCGGCGCCCAGCAAACACTGGTCGGAGCTGGAAGGTTCCGCGGGTAGATGGGTTGTCTGACCCGGGGCAGAGCTTGCCCTGCAAAGACACTGCTGTCACCCTGCTCCTACAGCAACAGGGAGAGTGCACGGGCCTCAGGGAGGGGGCGGGGTGCCCTGGGTCCGCCGGGCCCTGGCAGGACTCAGGGCCCCACCGGCCTCCCACCATGTGGGAAGCCCAGGAGACCCTCGTGCCCTAGCCTCCCAGGCCCCCCACCTGCGGGAAGCCGGGGAGCTCCTTCTCCATCAGCCTCCTCAGCTCCTCCTTGGTCACGCTCGTGCTCACAGCCGCTGGAGCGGCCCGGCACCCCGAGGGGCACACCCAGGCCGGTCTCCAGCTGTGCCATGGCGCTGTGGCCTCCTCTCCTTGGCCCTCCAGGGCTGGCTGTGGGCTCCTGCTGCCGGCCTCTCTGCCTTATAAGGCCAGGGCTCTGTTGACTCAGGGCGGGATGGACGTGTGACAGTTAAACCCCGGCTCTCCTGCCCTTAGGTCACTCCTCCCCGTGGATCCAGCTGTGACTTCTTCTGGAAGCTTCCCACCCTGCGGGGCTGGCCCCTGGACACCACACTGCCTTTGGGTGGTGTCCTCATCCCTGCCCCCTCCACTGGGGAATGGTGGGGGGCCTGTGGGTGGGTGTGGAGTGGATAAGGGTCTCCGGGGTCCTGGGGCCCAATGGGCAGACGCCCCTGGTGAGGAGAGGCTTGGTGAGGGGAGTGGTGGATGGTGTATCCACTTAGTGTGACTCGGGACACCCACACCCCAGTCCCACAGGCAGTAGGAGGGCCCTCTTCGCACCCTGCCCTGAGACCACCCTCTCCTCTCCTCGCACAGTGGCTGTGTAGGGGGCCAAGAGCCTAGGTCCCCATCCCGCCCCGCCTCTCCTAACCGCAACCGAGTGCTAGTCCTCTCCATGGCTCCGCACCCAGGAAGCACGCAGCCCCCCCCGCCTGGCGCCTCCCAGGAGCAGCCGGTGACAAGTCCGCAGGCTGGATGTCCGAGTCCCGGCTGGCGCGCTGAGGGGCAGGGCGGTGAGGGGCCCCTCTTCCCTTCCCTGCTGCATCCCAGCCACAATGGAGGCTCTGAAGGAGTCCCGCGGCCAGGGACCTGGTCCTCAGGGCAGCGGGCAGGGGACTGACCCTCACTGACAGCAGCTCTGGGCAGCCCTAACTCAGCCGTCTTCTCTGGCCCCGCCGTCGGGGGACGCCCCGAGCTCCCTGTGGAGGACTCGCTGGGTGAGGGAAGGCTGCCCCCCAGGGATGGCGCCCCAAGACGGACCTGAACCCCAAGGTGCATGTTGGACCCCCGAGGGCGAGTGCCCCCCAACGATGGTGCTGCCCCCAAGGATGGGTCTGCCCCCCAAGGATGGTGCCCCAAAGACGGACCTGAACCCCAAGGTGCATGTTGGACCCCCGAGGGCGAGTGCCCCCAACGATGATGCTGCCCCCCAAGGATGGGTCTGCACCCCAAGGATGGTGCCCCAAAGATGGATCTGAACCCCAAGGTGCATGTTGGACCCCCAAGGGCGAGTGCCCCCAACGATGGTGCTGCCCCCAAGGATGGGTCTGCACCCCAAGGTGCACTTTGGCCCCCTAAGAAGGGGTGCTGCATCTCGGGGTCACTGAGGTCATCGGCCCCCAAGGACAGATCTGAACCCCAAGGTGCGTTGGACCCCCAAGGAGGAGTATCCCCCAAAGATGGTGCTGCCCCTCAAGGATGGGTCTGCACCTCAAGGTGCACTTTGGCCCCCTAAGAAGGGGTGCTGCATCTCGGGGTCACTGAGGTCATCGGCCCTCAGGATGACAAAGGGTCACAGATCTGACCTCTGAGGCAGGAACCGGAAGGGACCAGGTGGCCCGCTGGGTGGGGACAGACAGGAAGGGGCAGGCGGGCGCTGCCTCCAAGGACGCAGGTGTCTTTACCGAGCTGGGGAGCACCCCAGCGGCCCGCTGAGAGAACGGGGTGCGGGGCCTCCACGCCCGTCCTCGCAGACCTGGACGTCGGAAGTGTCTTGGTCACTTCCTAACGTGTCAGCCTCAGTCCCGGTGGCCTGAGACCCCGCGGCGAGGCCTCGGCCCAGCCGTGGGTTGGGGTCTGCGGGCCTGCCCGGGGGGCGCCACACGGACCTCCTGCACTCTCTGTTAGGAAGGACGCCGTCAGAGTACGTGACCTCGGAGTTTCCTCCAGTCTTTATTTCAAACTGGTTGCTTCCCCCGTGGTCGCAGCAGGAGTAGAGCGGTCAGAGCCACGGTTGGGTGGACACGGAACGGGGCTCCCCTCCCAGGCCGGCCTTCTCTCCCCGCAGCTATGCTCCGTTCAGGGTCCCCAAAACCTCTTGCCTGAAGGACAGTGGGGCCTGGTGGGGCCTTTTCGGGGAGGGGAGGAGGCTCGAGGTGGCTGGACACCCAGCGTACTTTCCGGGAGGGGAAACTGGGGCCCAGCCGAGGAGCTGGGAGCCCGGGCCCTTGACCCAGTGCACTGGGGAGAAGCTTCCCAGGACAAGCTAGGTGTCCCGGGGGGTCAGGCGGCAGGGGCCACGGAGCTGAAGCCTCGTGTGCGTGTCCCTTGCAACTGGGGGCCCCCGTGGCACTTTCAGGGGAGCACTGTTCCCAGGCTGCCCCACTGAGGCTGCGGGAGACCAGGCTTCTGGAACTGCCAACAACCTGGTGGGGGTGGGGGAATACCGTGCCCCCCAGAAGGCGCCGCAGGCCGGGCAGGACCCCAGCACAGCTCCTGGCTGCCCCCGAGGCAGGTCCTCACTCTCCCACCGCCGCCCTCTGCCCACGCTGCACTTGGTAAACGTTTGTAGGCTGGGCCAGGGTCCCGGAAACCCGTGAGGGGTGGGATGCTGTGGAGGCCGGGAGGGCGCAGCACAGCTCCACGGGCCCAGCCCGACCCGACTGATACCGAACGTCCCTCAGTCTTCTCCTCGCTCCTCCCGACCAAGCAGGACTTCAGCCCTCCGACTGTCACTCGAAGCCAGTGCAAGGGCGTTCTGGGCAGTGGCGTGTGGAGTGAGGGCCTTCTGCTCGGGCACCAGGCTCGGATGGGAGCTTGAGCCTGCATGGCCTGGGGCCCTCCTCCTGCTGACCGGCTGGGTGACATGGGCCAAGTCCTTTCTCTTCTTCATCTGTAAAATGAGGGGTCCAGGCTGGCCTGCCCCCAGGAGCCAGGAGCCCACACTCTCAGACCGAGGCACCCACATTCCTGGGGGGCAGAGGAATGGGGTGCCCTGAAGCATCTGAAGTTCCCGTGAGGATTTTCCAGATGAAGCGGGAGGCTTGGACAAACAGGAGCTCATTGTCTTACAGTTTGGGGGCTTTAAGTCCAAGTTCAAAGTGCCAGGCTCTAGGGGCTGGGTGAAAGCCCCTCAACCTTGGGCTTCAGCTCTGCCTCCTGATCCCGGCTCACTGGAGCTACAGGCATTTCTTCACTCAGACAGTCACTGGCTGCTGAGGTTGAGAAGCCCCAAGGTTGACAAGTAAAAAGGCACAGTCCCGATGTTACCAAACCACATGGCAGGCCATTGATTCAAGTCCATTGAAAGTCCCCAGGTCGGCACAGCAGGGCAGGCTGTCGAACAATGACTTAGGTGCAGGGTTCAGGCAGGCTGTAAGCCAGAGACTGTTCCACAAGGCTTCTCCTTACGTACAGGAAGCAACCATATCCCTAAGGCAGCTACTCAGCTGCTCACAGTAGATTCCACCATGGAGTTGATGGCCAGTCTCACCATAGAGAATTCTACATCCAGCTGCCCAGCACTCAGCCAGGCCCTGCCAAGTTGACACACAACCTTTACCACAGTATTGCACCAGGCAGATCTGCTGCAAAAGACCTCTTTAAAGTGTTAAGAAGCAAAGGTGTCTCTTTGAAGGCTAATGAACACCTAACACAAGCCAGGGTATTTTCAATACCCTCATATGCATGTGAAAGCTGGACAATGAATAAGGAAGACTTAAGAAGATCAGGAGCTCTGGTAGCACAGTGCCTAAGGCATTTGACTGCTAACCAGAAGGCTGGGGGTTCAAACCCACCAGGCACTTGCCTTGGATACCCAAGGAGGGATCACTATCTGATCTGATTAGATGGCAGTACGTTTGGTTTGGTTTTAAGAATATTAGATGGTTTTGATTTGTGGTATTAGTGAAAAATACTGAGAGTACCATGGACTGCCAGGAGAGTGAACCAATCTGTCCTGGAGGAAGTGCAGCCGGAATGCTCCTTGGAGGCGAGAATGTTCAGGCTTCCTCTCACCTCCTTTGGTCATGTCGGGAGGTACCAGTCCCTGGAGAAGGATGTCATGCTTGGTAAAGTGGAGGGTCAGCGAAGGGCAAGGCCCTCAGCGAGGTGGACTGACCCGGTGGCTGCGTCAGTGGGCTCGAGTCTAGTGAGGACGGTGAGGCTGGCCCAGTCAGTGCCGGGCAGGGTTTCATTCCGGCCTCGCAGGGTGCTATGGGTCAGAGCCGACTTGATGGCACCTGCCAGGCATGATTCTATCAGCATGTCCCTGGGGGCGGTTTGCTAAAGAGAAGGTTAAGGGTATTTGCATTTTTATTTATGGGTGAGATTGGCTGCGCATTTCCTTTTCTGTGTTGCTCTTTGATTTTGACCTCAAGGCTATCCTGGCCTCATAAAGGTGCAAGGCGTTCTGTTCTCCTCTCTGGAAGCTGACGCAGGCCTGGAGTTTTGTGTGCAGAAGCAGTGATCAAACAGCCTGTAAACCACCTGGGCCGGGAATTTCTTGTGTGTGTTGTGTGTGTGCACGGTGCAAGGAGTGTGTGTATGAAGAGGATGTGTGTGTGGGTTATATGTGCGCATGTGGGGTGTGTGCAGTGTATGGGTGGTGTGTGTGTGTGTGGTCTGTGAGCGTGTGGGAGCTGTGTTGGTGTGGGGTGTGTGTATGTTTGTGGGGTGTGCGCAGTGTACAGGTTGTGTGTATATGTGAGGTATGTGTGCATGTGGGAAGTGTGTGTGGGGGGTGTGTATGGGTTGTATGTGTGTGTAAGAGGTGTGTGTATGTGTAGTGGATGTGTGGGTGTCTTACGGGTGAATGTGGGGTGGTGTGTACATGTGTGTGTGTGTGTGGTGTAGGTTGTGTGTATGCAGTGTGAGTATGGGTTATATGTGTATGTGAGGTGTGTGTGCATGTGTGTGGTGTTTCTGTGGTGTGTGTAGGGGTTATGTGTGCATGTGGGGTGTACATGTGATGTGTAGGGTTTGTGTACAGGGAGGTTCGTGTGGGGTGTGTGCATGGGTTGTGTGTGTATGAGGTGTGTGCATGTGCATGTGGGGGGTGTGCAGGGTATGGGCTGTGCATGTGGGGGGGTGAGATGTGCAGTTGTGCATGTG